TCGAACTCACCAGCTGTGAGATTGTGACCTGAGCCCAAGTTGGACGCTCAACCAACTGAGCCACCCGGGCACCTCTCTATAATTTCATTCTTAATCTGAATGTTAAAACATCAGTCTTTGTAGCGTGAGCAATGTGAATTTGCTTAGATAGGGGCATGTGCTGTTTTGTACGCTTCACCAACACATTAGCAAACACTTGCATTTTTACTCCTTTAGCAGATATTACCTAGATATTAACTACGTCTCTAGCACCGTGCTGGGTGAAATAGGTACTTTTACATATCTGATCATTCACAAACATTAGTTGAGCATCTACTAGGACCCAGCGCTGAGGACACAAGATGAACATGACATCGGACCCCTGAGGGACCCAATATTTAGTTGGAGAAGTAGACAGGTAAATACAGACTTTACAGCACAGCATGGTGAATATTACCCCCAGATACATGAATGACATGCTATGATAGTGCAGGGAATGAAACTATTTCTATTTGAGGTGTTGAGGGATGAATAGAAGTTTCCAAGCAAAGAAGAGTGGTAGGGTCGAGGGATGGCATTCCAGGGGCAGGGAAGTAGGGTGTGCAGAGTCATGAAAGCATGAAGAGCTTGTGCTGCTTCCAGTTCAGTTCTTTCTGCCTGAGAATAAAAATATGGCCGGTGATGTGCATGCTCCTGGCAGTGTGAGGCCAGAAGCACAGGCTGTTTTTCTAGGCCACAAGCATTTCCACGCCAAGAGGCTGCTTGAGTTGCCCCAATTGGAAGCAAAGATAGTGTTTGTGCTCTCTGCCCCAAAGTTCCCAGGCTGGAAGAATTCTCGTGGTGAACACTGAGCCTTGGGAGAACAAATAGAAGTCTTCCGGGCCATACAATTGCCTTTACCACAAAGAACTCAAATTGTCTGTGCATGACTCCACTCAGCTTCTCAACTTGAACTTCTGGGTCCCTTTGCCTTTTCAGATCAGTGTCACTCAGGCGGCGGGGGCAAGATCTTGCACCAGAACTTCAAAGGACACACTGCTGCCTTTATCAATAAAATTATGCTATGAAAAAAAAGAGTCAGCTGAAGCAAATGTTTGCTTAGTGGCATAATTTGCATTTGGCACGAGCTTCTAAGCTTGTCACAGACTGATAAATAGTTCATGGCTTGGCAGTGATTCATACACCACATTTTTTAGATCACTCACTATCCACTAATTAAAATCCTGTGTGACAAATCTCTGTGTTTCCTTTCAGACCCTGGCCTACATATTTTTTCTCTTGTTGTGAGAATGATGTGAATTATCTTGTTTCTCTTTATGTGTTGACTTCTAAAAAGCTCAAAGTCAAATTGGAAGCTCAAGTGCCTCAACTATGTTGACACTTCGGGGTGGCAAGTGTTTGACATTTTTGTTTTCGATTTTGCTTTTCTGTTTCAGATTGGCGTGTGACTGGATTATTTCATTGACTGTGCTTTTGCTGGATGATGTTGAAGATGGTGACTATGAGGACAAACACGACAATAAGCATTACAGGTTTCTGGTCTGCGTCCATCTGAGTAGAACCAGGGTTTAGCTGTGTCTCCATGAGTCCAAACAAGCCTGACGGTTTAGTCTCTGAGCGGATAGAATTGGTATCATGGAGACTCAGCGGTATTCACGAGGAACGCGTTGCCCTGCATGCAGAGGGTATTGGCCTCTGTAAATGAAGTCAGCATGCACAGTTAGGAGAAGAGCACTCACCGTCTTGGTCGTTACCTGAGTCAGCTGGAGACTTGCTCCGGCGCATGGGGCCAGGGCTCTTAGCTGAACTCTTCTGAGGGGTTGGAGAGGCCTTTGGGCCAGCTGTGGCCGATGGGTTTCCCTTCATGACTCGGCATTCTGGTAAAAAAAAAAAAAAAAAAAAAGACACAGCTCAGTAAAGCCAGGGGAGGAACGGGGCTCAGCATATTACCAACTTCTGGAAACTGGAGTAACCACCACAGGCCAAAGTACCCAATGGCTCAGGACTACGGGGTGGTCCTCACCATCTGTGGGAATAACGGCTCTGGGGAGGGGGGCATGGGAGAAACTTTCAAAAGTCATCTGGGCTAAGCCAGGTGTTTAAATCCCTGGATTATGGAAACAAGGGAAGGAGCTGAAGAGCAGGTTGGGCGGGTTATTAAATAGTCAACTCATTTGTGGACAACGCAGAAGAGCACCTGTTGACCTAATTAATTAATTTCCTTGGAGAAGAGATTGACAGCCAAGAGGCTGCAGCCACACAGATGAAACATTCATGAGTAATCTAAAGGAGAAAGGAGGAGCTACCATTTATTGTTCATTGCATGCCATGTATTATAATAAGCATACTAGGGGTGTCATGCCATTTTATAAATAAGCACTCCTAACTACCACCGCCACCACCACCATCTTGCATTTACAGAACTCTTTCTTTTTTAAAAAAAAAAAAAATATTTATTCATTTTTGAGAGAAAGAGCATGAGCAGGGGAAGGGCAGAGAGAAAGGGAGACAGAGGATCCAAAGCAGGCTCCGCACTGACAAGCAGCGAGCCCGATGCGGGGACTCGAACTCATGAACCGTGAGATCGTGACCTGAGCCGAAGTCAGACGCTCAACCAACTGAGCCACCCAGGCGCCCCTTTTTTATTTTCAATGCACGTTATCATAAAACCCTATGCCGGCTTAATGAATATAAAGGAGCCAGCAGTGACTGTCACTCAGAGCTTACAGAAAGCTCTTGGGTGTATCGGGGAGTCTGCCAAATGTTTCTGCTACTTGCCTCAACCTCAGTCCGACACGTGTGGGGCACTTTTTCCATGCAGATCACTCAGCAGCCCTACTGTGGTAATTCTGGGCACGGATTGTGCTAATGCGTTAAGAGAATTACCATACTCACGTTGCTGACGAGACCGCAAAGAATATAAGCCTCTTGCTTAGGACCACAAAGCAAGAAACGAGCAGAGCGAGGGCTAGCAACCAAGTCTCCTAAGTCCCAGTCTAGTGCTCTTTCCGCTATGGATTTTCCAACCTTGTGCTGTGATGGTCAAAGTGGAACCACACAGCTAGGTAGAGGGCAGTCTTTTCTTTGGACACTCTCTGGTCACTTCCTACTTAAAGATCTATCAATTACCCAGAAAAAATTAGGGGATCTTTTCTGACAAACTGAGTGGTTTTTTGGAAATTGAGTTAAGCAGAAAGCTCATTTTTGTTTGTTCTACGTCTTGTTTTGGTTGATGGACTTTAGTGATTACTGTCCAGAGCTGGAGATGCAGAAGGTGTAGGAAGTTGCATATAGCCTGGGGTTTGTTTAGCTATTTTATGGTCATTTGTCTCTTCTCAAAGTGAACACAGCAGAAATGCCACCTCTTTCAGGGTCCTTGTCACTTGAGCTGTTTGTAAAGTCTACAATACAACCGGGTTTGTTTTTCTCACCCCTCATAATTGGGAAATATGTTTTGAATGTGTCTTCCCATCAGGATCATTTCCTAACCCTGTTGCTGTATGAGCTAATCCGCCATTAACTTACACATGGAGCTTGGACTCAAGCAAAGGGAGGTGGGCAGATGTTCACCTCCTTCCTGAGATTAACAACCTCTGGAATCTTGAGTCACAGAGCAGGGGGAATGAGGCAGCAAGCCAGAAAGAGGGAAGAGGGGAAAGATTTGACACTAAGAACACGGTGGAAAATCTTTCTAAAATGGAACCATCAACATGAGCCAAGTAGCTGGAGGATGTTGACTACAAAAAAAGTATACATATAATATCCAAGTTCTGACTCCAAATTTTCCTTCCCATAGTCTGAGTCTGATTGCACCCGTCATCCCATGTGACACAATATGTGGTTCGAGAAATCTGGTCACTTTTGGGGCAGGTAGTGAGTTTTATTGAGTTTGGAGGCTGAGAATCTGGGACATCTAATCAACCTTTCTCTTAGTGACTCATGTATCCAAATATACAGGAGAAAGACTGACAGTATTTGCCCTCGAAGGTCCATGCATGGATGTTCTCTGGTCCATATGAACCCATGGAAATCCTAAGGGTTAGAAGGAGGGAAGATAAGAGAGCAATCATATCCAGTGGTTGTGCATACCATTTTCATCCAGAGAAAAGTCATCCTGAGCATAGCGAAATTTTTCAGGACCACAGGCAATAAACACATCGTCATCACCAAAGAAATCATGGAGACAGGTTACCTACGGAGAAAGCAGAGACATTGGATGGACATGTGATTATCTTGTGACAGTAAACATCATATCATGCTGGCAGGGGAAAAAAGCTTCAGGTCTGGGCCATCATCTTTAGCCCTCAGGGATCTCCATTTTTCAAGCCACCAGGCTCATAGTCTGCATCACAGCTCCTGGTGAGTAAAGATATACCAAATGCCATTGCCTTTCCATGTTTCATGTTTCATGTTTCCATTGCATTAAGAATAACTTCAAGACCATGTGGACATGATCCCTTTTAATAAAAGTTCACAAGCAGGGGCAGCTGGGTGGCCCAGTTGGTTAAGCGTCTGACTCTTGGTTCTGACTCAGGTCATGATCTCACAGTTCGTGTGTTCAAGCCCCATGCTTGGGATTCTTTCTCTCTGCCCCTTCCCTGCTTGGGTGCTCTCTCTCTCAAAATAAATAACGAAACTTAAAAAAATAGGTTCACAAACAGATAGCCCTGCAAATGTTACCTTTTCTCAGAGGCTCAAAGACAGAGTGCTCCTAGCCCGACTCTGGGGCCAAAGGTGTAAGCCAAGGCAGATGAGAAAGGTCGTCTGCAGCCTGAAGTAGATAGACTCTATGGCTGACCAAGATGTGGAAGCTCTTCTTGTCAACTTCATGAGTTTTGAAAGAAGGGCACCAGTTCTCAACTGATTTCCACCCATGAAAATTGGACTTTTGCTAAAAATGGACCAAGAACATGGAAGTGACCCAGAATACCATTCCTCCCTCAAGAACAAGAAGGGGAAAACTGTCCTGACCACTTAAAATTTAATCAAGAGCAATGAGTCCCCATAGGCTTGAGGCTCTGCTGGTAAAACCATGTTCCCAGGATCCTTCCCACCCTCTAGTGCCCTATGCATTGCTGTTTGTCCACAACAGAGAGATAGTCTCCCCAACCCTTTTCTGCGCAAAGAAATGAGGGTCCCTGGGAAAGTATGTTGCTCACTATAGTCTCCTCACTTCTCAGCTTCCTAATTACATCTGATAATTAGTCCAGCACACGAGGGAAATCCCCGGAGAAACCATAGAGTCAAAACATTCTTATCCCAATCCTTAGCTTGAAAGTGTTCAAAGCTTCTAATTGTTCTAAGCTACCCATTCAAGCTGCCAGCGATGGCTTTCCAAAAGCACAGAGCTCACAAAGTAATAACAGCTTGCTGGGTGCGGAGAGCAATATTTCACATTTGAAAAAAATGTGCACATTAATACCATCACCCACCCCAACCCAGGTTCTATTCAGTCCTCATCTGCCTAGCCAAGATGATTGCAAGATTTACACAAAGTGAGGGATGCTTCAAGATTATCCCCATTGCGTCAGCCTCCCAATCATCCAGGAGATGCCAAGATAAGGGAAGACTTGGAAGACTGTCAGGTTTGCTCCTATAAGCCTTTTCCCAGCCGTGGGTCGTGACCTCACCAAATAGGCCAACATCCTACAGCCCACTTGTCCCTCACCCATTCATTCCACACTCATGTAATGACAACTAGAGCTACCCCTAAATTGAATGTTTATTCTGTGACAGGCACCCTGCTAAGTACTTCCGAATCTTTCCTCTCATTTTACCCTCACAAAAGATCCTAGAGGTCAATATTATTGTCATCGCTGTCTCACAGATGAGAAAACTGAGGCCCAGAGACAATAAGTAAATTACTTAGGTGGAAAGTGATGAAGCCAAACGAACACAGATCTATCGGACTCCAAAGCCTGTCCTTTTGGCCACTCACCAATACAAAACTCATGCACAGTTCAGGCACTGGGGAAACAAGGATGTTTAAGGCATGGTTCATGACTCCATGGAGCTCACAACCTGACGTCCCGGAACTTGGCTCGATAAAACCTGGAGCCCCTAACTTTGATACATTGTGTGTCTCTGCATTGTTTATCCCCTGGCACCTCCTTGACCCTGAAGATCTCTGCCATGCCCTCATGTTCGATGCTGGCCCTGACCCTGACTTTAGTTTTGCTTATGAGTTAAGGAAGCCTCATCCTTGGGTGCCCCTCCACTAGTGGCCTCTAGGGTGTAGCACTTTGTTTCAAGACCTGCCTGTATTCTCATGAGTGCTCACCTGCTCCTTCCCTTTCAAGCACTAGTTTCCCGAATGTAACAGCCAAGTTTATCCCTCTCTCTGCATGTCCCCATGGTTTGTGGTAGAGTGCTTGCCGTAGAGTGAGAATTCAGCAGGGCTCTTTTTGTCTCAACCAAATGCAAAGAAAATAAGACGGAGGCTTTGTAAGTTTATACAAACGCAGAAAAGTAGGAACAAAAAGGAAATTAATCTTGGCAAACAACAAGAACTAGCATTCAAAGGTTTTGAAAGGTAACACAAATACACAAATTTAGGAACAAGAAAGGAGCGATGATTGTGCATTCAGAAGTTCTTCTTTGCATAAATATGCTAATTAGTTGGAAAACTTAGATGAAATGAATGATTTTCAAGGAAAATGTAAATAATGAGGTTGGCTCAAAAAGAAATCGAAAACCCCAACCAACTACTGGCCATGAAAATAATTTAGTAAACACTTCAAACATCAACCCTTCCCCAACAGGCAGCAGAGCATTCATTTTGGAGGTGCTGGTGGAAATTGCTTCCCAAGAAGAAAAACCAAAAGCTCAAAAGCCTTCACAGATTGCTCTGGGGGTTGCTGTTACAATGACCCACCCTCCTCCAACCCCAAGCCTTTTTGCCCCCACCCAGGCTTTGGGAAAAGCCTTTGGATAACCCCTCCTTCGGGGAGCTTCTGAGAAAGGCAAAGCCCCCCTATGCTTCTGACAAACTCACAATGGTGTGGCTGGCTTCAAAAACATTCATTTTGCAATCCAGCTGTTCAGCATCAGGTTTCTTGTGTGATCCCTCCCCACATTTTACTGGCTCCCAAATGTAGACAAGTTCACATTGTGCATGTGAATACCCAGCTTTCCCAAATGCCTTGGATACTGAGACACAACAGCCCTCCCTGCCTTTGTTACAGAGTTGGGAAAATAGAAAGCTCTCCGTCTTAAATACGAGGAACCCAAAGCACAGAGAGTCAAAGTGGCCCAAAGATACACAGATGGCTCATGGCAGAGTTGAGGCCAGCACTCAGGTGTCCTGATTCAATTCCGGACAGAGCAATTCAGTCGCCTGAGAGAACATGCTTTCGTAAAGCCCTGACGTCAAAGGCTCGTATACAACCTGAACAGGAGAGTCCGCATGTGTCCTAACCAATGCCTGATATCCATTAGAACATTTTACTAGACTGAGAAAAGAAAACATCTATATGGGTCATACTTTGAATCTACAGACAAGAAAATTCCTATTCACTACTGTAACTGGCAATGGAGAATGTTGTGGAAATGGAGGACAAGGAGAAGGAGGGGAGGAGGAGAAAAAGAAGAAAAAGGGAGAAGGAAAAGAAGAAGGAGCAGGAGAAGAATGGAGCTCTCTTCCCAAATGAAGCTCAGCTCACACCTGCTTTTGCAAATTCCATGGAGGTAACGTGACAGAAAGTCCACCTTAGCCTACGTTGCAAATGTATAATTTTGCAACTTGGATTTTTTAGATAACATTTCAGTCATGAGGTGGCATCAGAAGTGGTAAAGATAATAATCATTATGGTACCACTTACAGCATCCCCAGAGATCAAGGGTCCAGCTGACATCAGCTTTTGTGTGAGTCACACTAGGGCCTTTAAGTCAGGGACAAGAGCACAAGATCATAATGCCTGTCTTTGTAATTAATGAACTGCCCGCACAAAATCAATAAAATCAACTCATATTAACATTGAACCATTAACTCAATGTTCTTCCTTTAAAAAAAAAAAAAACCAGCAGATATATTAGCTGCGAATGGCAAATTCACTCCGTGGCTTGATTTAAGCTTAATTAAATTCTCCACATGTTACAGATGCTGGCGGTTAGTTCTTGTAGAGTAGACTCTACATTTCATGATCTAATTGTGCAGAGAGAAATGTTATCTCAGAAGCAAGGTCTTGTATATGTATGAGACTCGCTTTCAACATGCAAAATATTTTCACTGAAAGTTCAACTCCACTAATATTCATTCATGAAGCACTTAACTATGGCAAAGGGACTCTGTGAGAGATATAGTCGGTCACAATGAAAGGCTCCTGCTTTCAGAATTGCCAGCATAATAAGCGAGTCAGAACTACACACATAATTGGAATACGAGGCAGACTGTTGTTAGCACCGTTACAGAGACACAAAGAGCCGGGGGAACACAGAAGACAAAGAGAACAATTCTAATCACGAGAAGTGGGAAGACTTCATAGAGAAGGTGACAAAGGCGAAGCCCACAGAGAATCTGGGTCTTGAGGGATGTGTGGGATATAGGTTGATGGAGATAGACGTAAAGGGGATTCCAGATAACTGCACAAATAAATGCAGGAACGTGTCTTTTCCTCTTTTTTTTATATTTATTTATTTTGAGAGGGAGAGAAAGTAAGCACAAGCAGGGGAGGGGCAGAGAGAGAGAGGGGGGTGAGAGAATCCCAAGCAGGCTCCATGCTGTCAGCGCGGAGCCTGACACAGGGCTCCACCCCACCAACTGCAAGATCATGACCTGAGCCAAAATCAAGAGTCAGACACCCAACTGACTGAGCCACCCAGCCACACGTCTTTTCTTAATAGTCCTAGAAAGAAAGAACTGCATCTCATCAACTACAGTCACAGCGATTCTAAGCACAATTGCCTGGATCCATCCACCAGCCTTGCAGTTGCCTCCTAGTGAGATGCAGGGTGAAGAGAAGGGCAGAGAGTGTCTATGGGAAGAGGAGTGGCCCCAGTGGTGAAGAGGGAACCTTGTGGCAACGAAGACAACCCACACTGATTTCCCAGTCTTGCCAACACTGTATCCAGCCCATCGAGAGTGGCTGGCAAGCTTTGCAAAATGAGTTAATGAAAGATTCAGTAAGCCTTACGGATGCGGCTTCTTCTAAAAGTTACCGCCATTCTTATTCTGGAACATTTCCTGCCGGCAGC